ATGCAACGTAACCGTGCATGTTAAATGAAAATAAAAATGATTGAACCATCATTGAAGCAATTTAAAGACAGTGCTCCTACACTAAATGAAAAAGGAAAAAATGATTAACTAAAAAATGAAAAAAAGGAATAAATGTTAATTGAAAAAGAATATGTTATTTGATAAATATATAATAAGGTGTTACGTAATATAAAATGAATATGATATATATGTGTGTGTATATGTTAATTGCAAAAGAAAGTTAAATGAATATGAGTATATATATATATACAACTGTTATGCTACAAGTGTAATTATCTATTGAGTTTACTATATAAACTCAAACCGTTAAACTTAATTTTCAGGTAAATCTGCTTATAAATAGAAATGATCGAAAGAGAAGAATGTGTATAAAAGAAGGTGATCAAATGAAAGCAGGTAAAAAATTGGTTTATTTATATATTCAAATTTGTAAATTTGTTAGTGGCTCTTAACTATTATGTAGATGTTAGATGTTAATTATTTATGGATTTGAAAGAAATGTATTAATCATCCGATCGTCCATTCCCGCCTCTTTAATTCGAGTATCCATATGGGTCATGACACTTGTAACTAGCATTAGTAGTTTCTCATTTAGCACTTAATTGCAAGAATGCTTTCTAATGTCTCACTTCATACAGTCTCTTACTTCGCCCAATCCCAACCTCTTGGTGTCTAGTTGTTCACTCAATCTCAAGAGCATTTATATTACTTCATCATTTCTATTGTAGATTATTTTTTGAGGGGGGCTTTCAGTTAACTAGAAGGTATTTTTATTGAATATATTATTTTATTTGTAAAAATTATTACTAGATGTGGTTTTAGTTTAGCCAATTAGAATACAACGCTTTGTTAGACCGATCTAGCCGGTCCATACCGGACCTGCTTACGGGAAATAGAGTCGGGATGTATCCACCTCTTGTACGTGCTAATCCGACCACCCAGGTCCAAGGGAGCAATTTATAAAGGAATTTTTTAGGGAGTTAGGAGGGAAATTTGAATGTAGGGATTATTTAGAGATTTCCTTTTGATTGTATGCTTTAAATAGTTTGCTTTCCTACGGTTATGGCATCTTGAATTTGGCTAAAATTTCATATCTCTTAGGTTTTTGGGCTCTAGTGGCATCTAGAGAATTGGGAGAGATAGATCCTCCTCTCGAATTGAGGATCAACTGTATCTTGGTATTTTCTTTCGTTCCATTTGATTCTTGCAATAAAATTACTATTTTACCTAGTTTTCATTGGAGTTTGGAGAAAATTTTTCTTTAACTTATCTTAAGATTGATAGGGATTATTGATGACGTAGGTATTTCATAAAATTGGTATCATAGTAGATTTTGAGACTGTTTGGGTGAAAATCAACGGCTCATTGTTAGCCAGAAGGGGGCTATTTTGCTGTTTTTTGGAATTGAGATTCAGATTTTTTTATCCAACAAAAATTCGAGTATTGATGGCGGCCAAGAAAGTGGATGCATTGGAAAAACACCTCGATGGGGAGATCGTACAAATGAAATCTGAAATTTCAGATCGACAAACTCATGTTTCAGATTTAAAGAAAGAAATTTCAATAATCCTTGATAAGATCGATTCAAATTTTTTCATCCTGGGGGAGATGTTGAAGAAAGTGCTCGAGGGTCAAAACAAAAAAAAATGTTGTTGGAGGTGAGGGAAGTCACCGACAGCCAATGTTTAAAATTGTGTATTCGGGTATTGAGGCATTTTTCATTCGTGAGGCGAGGCGTAAGCCTCATGGCGTTTTGAGGCGTAAGCCTCAAAATCAAAAGATTGCGTAAACATAAAATGATAATTTTTTTATATACTAATAAGTGAATAATATAAAATATAAAAAAGTATAAGATATGAAGTGAAATCAAAATATCCCAATAATAAGACAACATGAAATATAGTTCAACTCAAAATTTTATCTTTCCCAAATCCCAGTATTCTTTTCATTAACATATAATTCCAATTTCCAAAAACAAATAGCAATGACATATCACATAAGAACTCATAAGTCATCAGCACTGTCATCACTAAGGGGTTCTTCATTTGAATCATCATTATGATGAACTGCTCTCCCCTTCCTTCTCTCCTATAGAGTCCAATGTCGGGCATTTACTTCAAGATTTATGTAAGTTTTAATATATATAGCGTGAGGCGAGGAGGGCAGGGCCTCAACCAAGTTGAGGCGCAAGCCTCATAAAAAAACTCGAGGAGTAAGCATCGAGGCGTTTTTTACTGGAATTGCGCAAAGGCAGGCCTCAAGGCGAGCCTCATATTGCGCAATTTTAAACCATGCCGACAGCTAGAGAAATGGAGAAAAACCTAAGCCAATCAGACGAAGGGAGGATCAGGAGGTGGAAATTTTAGAAGAAATATAAAAAGGCCTCCCCTAGGGCCTATTCCTAAGAAGTCTGGTAGAGAGTATGTGGAGAGGCGTGAGGGGGTTGGGCATGAGTAGAGGGATGTTGAATTTGAAAGAAGAGGGGCTGAACTTGAAAGGAAAAGACTTGATTGTGATCGAAGAGGTGTCAAATTTGAAAGGCGAGGGATTGAATATGATCGAAAGGGTGCTGAATTTGAAGGGAGAAGGTGGGCTAGTGATAAAAGGTTTGGGTGTGGGCCGAGGAATGATGATTGGCACAATTTGGGGGAACCACCCCTTAGGGAATGGGAAATTTTGGAGGAAACAGGGCTGACAGAGGTGGTCTAAAAGTGAAGAAGTTGAAGAAGTCTATTTTCGAGGGAGATGATGCACATGGATGAATCTATAGGGTGGAAAGGTACTTTACTGTCAATAGATTAACAGATGAGGAGAGACTAACGACAGCAGGCCATGTTTAGAAGGGAAGGCTTTGGATGTTTAGAAGGGAAGGCATTGGCTTGGTATCATTGGAGAGACATGCGGCGACCCATATGGAATTGGAGGGAGTTCAAGGATTGTCTGTTAGAATGATTCCGAACCGGCAATGGAGGAGACTTCTACAACAAGTTCTTTGCTTTGATACAATTCGATTCAGTGATAGAGGACCGAGAGAGGTTCGAGTACCTTGCTAGCCGATTGAACCACCTTTTTAAGATCGTGCTAGAGGGGAACATCATGAAAGGACTGAAACCAGAGATCCAATTGATAGTCAAAGTGATGAGGCCTCGTGACATGGGAGATGCTATGAAGATAGCTCAGTTGGTTGAGAATCAAAGGTACTTGGAGATCGAAACGAGAGGCAGTAGCTCAGTAGGCTTGTATAGAATGACCACCACCTTATTGGCATCCAAGGAGCCAACACTGGATACTCTTAGGGAAAGACTGCAAGAGAAAGACCTGGGAACAACTTCAAGAAGCTCACAGAAATGGAATTATAAGAGATGATGGAGAAGAGGCTCTGTTTCAAATGTGACGAAAAGTATACTCTGGGGCATAGGTGTAAGGACTGAACACTTCAGGTTCTTACCGTTTTTTATGACGAGGAAATTAAGGAAGGTGTTGTCTTTCCACCTTGTGGACAAAATGGATCTTCGAGAGAGAAGTATTGTTAGACCAGTCCACTGGACCGATCTATTCGGTCCATACGAGACCGGCTTACAAGAAACAGAGGTGGGATGTATCTGGCACCTGTACGTGCCAATCCGGCCGCCCGAGTCCAAGGAAGTTGTTTAGGAAGGATTTTTAAGGGAGTTAGGAGAAAATTTTGAATGTAGGGACTGTTCAAAGTTGTCCTTTTGATTGTATGCATTAAATAGTTTGTTTTCCTAGGATTATGGAATCTTCAATTTGGCTGAAATTTGAGATATCTTAGGTTTTTGGGCTCTAGCAGCATCTAGAGATTTGGGAAAGATAGATCCTCCTCTCAAATAGGAGAAATTATTCTGTGCGGAATCCGGTTATAGGAGCTGTGTTCGGATGCCAGTAAAATCATTACACGTAGCGAGCTTACGTGAAAAGTTAGGATATTCATTTGACTTCTTACCCGACCCATTTGTCTTTTCGGACTTACTGCAGACGAAGAGAAATCCGCAACAAATAAGCAGTAATTAAGCAAAAAATGTGCAACATATACACAACAAATACTCAATAAATACGCAACAAATACGCAATAAAATACTCAATCAATACGCACATTTTACGCAACGAATACGCAATAAATATTTAATCAATACGCAAGTCAAATAAATATGGCGGACTTTTAACTTTCCACGTAAGCATCCGAACACAGTCCTATAACCGGATTCCGCACAGAATAATTTCTCCTCGAATAAAGGATCAATTTTATCTTTGATATTTTCCGTTTCATTTGATTCTTGCAATTAAGTTACTGTTTTCCCTGGTTTTCATTGGAGTTTGGAGGAAAGTTTTTGCTGTTTTGTCAAAGATTGATAGGGATTCTTGATAACTTCAAGTATTTCCTAACACACTTCATTTTGCATTTTATGCATTAAAGCGAGAAGAAACCCTTGCAAATAGCATTGAGCTTAGCGCTTTGAAAATGCTGCTAAAATGCATGTCTTCTAGTTTCCATCCTGGAATAATTTACTAGAAGTTTACTTTTTATGCCTTATTATAGGCACGCATATCAATATTTAAATGGACATCTAAAAGAATATTCTGGTTATCTAGAATGATCATGAGGCTGAATTTTAATAATAGGCAAAACTTAGAGTGTGCTCAAGCCATACAGCGAGTGAATATCAGATGACAGAAGGAAAAAAAAAAGTCAACAAGAAGAAATGTAATTAAATGGTAGAGATGACCATAAATTAATAATGAAACCAGAGTACAAAAGGTGTTTCAATTGCATCGTCTAATTAGCAAATTAAAATATTTCCTTTTGACAAAATAGGAACCGTCAAGCATCTAATGAATGATATGCAACACAAGCATACAAAGATTGGATACCGCCAAAATTTGGTTGTTCACTTCAAGATTTTGCTGCTAAACCAAGCAAAAACAAATTAATTGAATAAACTTCAAACAAATAAGCTTACCCAACTGCTTCATCTTCACCTTTAACTTGTCAACTAGCTGTAACATTGTTGCCCTCTGCTCATGTTCATGCATGTCGCTTAACAAGTGAACTAAGGCTTTAGCATGACCTGACAAAAATATTAAAAAAAAAAATAAAACTTGTAGTAAAATGCATAACATTAAAACTGATATACAAAATATCTATTTTCTACACACACAAACACATATATATATATATATATATATATATATATATATATATATATATATATGCAAACGCATGTGTAACTAGAGATAATTATGGAGTGGTTTCACAAGCGCAATCACTTGTGTGATAATGAAAAATGCAACCATCAATCAAATGGTGGCTTGCTAATTGCCTTGCAGCTATTTAGTGAATACGTACTAACATCATGATCTTTGAACCAAATTCCAATAAACCTCCTATTTCTTATTTCTATATACTCTGTTAAGGATATGCATAAAACGTCTGTCAGCTTTTATCACTTAGCCATTGATTTATTATGGGACACGAAGACATGGTCCTGCCAGCAATGCAACCCTTCTCTTTGAATTCGTCATTCTATTGCTTCCTAACGGGCATCTGAGTATGACATGAATTAAACACAACCTGGATAATACCAACACAAGAATTTCCTGGTTTATTGAAAGTACGTTGGGCTTCCGTTGAGTACAGTCGGAAAGAAATATATGAGAATTTTTTTACTTACATCCTGCCAGACATTTAAAAGACTAATCTAGCTCAAATGCACCACCCCAATTGAGGCCAAATTGTTCAAGTTCACCAATTACAAATAAGTTTACATGCTGTCATTTCATGGGACACCTATTAAGGTAAAAGTAAGTTGACTTTTTTGTTGGAGCAACCGGCCAATACCAGCAGCAATTATAACAGCATGCCATACAATTTTTGGCTCAATTTATATATGGATGGAATTCTTGCAGGATAAGAATGATCATTCTTCTTTCATTTAAAATTTAATTTCATGGTTTTCCAATTATATATTAAGAAATCAATTCTCCTTGATAATATTAAATCTCGTAGCATATGCAACACGAATCACTTTCATGAACATTTGATAATCAACTGAATGCCTCAGGATTTTCTCAAAAGAATGTCTCAATTGTATGCGAAGATGATTATGATTTTCAAGTTGTGGTCTTTCCAATAGACTGAAACTAAATACATGGGTGATTGATTACCTTTCCATTGTACTTGATGTCTTTGATTGACGAAATATTAGAGAAAAACTACAGTTTTTTACTGGTTTTTATATGCCTTTGAATCATCCATGTTTTCTTAGCAGGTTTGCAGACTATATGCAGAGATTTTATAATTCCGCCATCCCTCGTCAATATGGCACCTAGTCTACTTAGAGAAAATAATCGACCCAGCTTTACCGAAGGATCATTGTCGATAGCCCTAGGTTGTTTTATCTAAGGGAACTTTATAGACCCGAGGTGAATGTTTATCTAAGTAGTCCATCTTAGCCAATAGAGGGCTTTATGCCCAACCATGCTTACCCTATGATTCTTTACTCAAGAGATATTAGCCAATGGAAAATTTGTGCGCTTTAGCCATGACCATAATTTAATGATATCATTTTACAGCAAAAATCACCCGGTTAGAGAACCCCAATTATAATCATTTATCTATGGTACATTTTGTGACAAAATCACTAGTTAGAGTCACTTGTCACGTCCTTGCTGGTAAGAGACTGTCTGAAAATGAATCATAAAGATGCTCAACTAAACATTTGACTTTTTGAGAGCTAAAGTTGCTCAAAAATTTAGCACCCTCAACAAACATATTTAGATGATGGATTTTGCTTTAAATTTAGAGATGTAATTTCACTTAAATTTTTTTAAATTTGTTAGGATTTAAGAGCAATTGTAAAATAAAGTCACATCCAATTCAAATGTTTCATCAACATAATCATTATTAGGGTATTTGGATCTTTTATTTTGTTATTTCAACAATGTCAACTCTACCAACTTGCTTGCAAAGGATCAAGTCCGATCTATTTTCATTTTATATTTCATTCACACAAAATTCTCAAAAAAATTCAAACGTTTTAGTACACTTGTCGGAGTACGAACAAATAACTTTTCTCTTTTAAGCAAAAAATGGTGGGTTGTGTTACGTACTCAGACAACCATCATAAAAATTATTGAACAATCATGACATGAATCATTTAATACATTGTATTAATGTTAGGACATTTCCTAAAAACAACGAGCTGTATGGCCTAAATACATCAAGAAGTGTGCAAGGGCCGCTACATTGGCATTTAGGTGGACTATTAAATAAGCAAGGGTTCCCACATCATAGATGGATGTGGGCAAAGAAGCTAGTACATGAAACTAGAATTATGATATGAACTTAGAATATAGGTTCTCTTATAGGCAAATTAATGAGATTAATAAATATTATGATTCATAGGAAGATAAATATTATATGCATTCAGAAAATTAAATGAGTTTGAGGGAAGGCTAAGAAGATTATTAGTTTAGGATTTAATTATAATATTCAGGTGGGACTCATACTTGAATTAGTGTAGGTATAATTATAGATAAGAGTTTGAAGGATAAACTTATAGAAATTAATAAAACTAGAGATAGATTTATAACTTTAAATTTTATTATTGATACTAAGATTATTAATATTATGATTGTTTATGCTCCTTAAATAGGTTTGGATATATGTTCAAAATTAAAATTTTGAAATAACATAGAAGAATTAATATAAAAGAAACCTCTTGAGGAAAATATTTTTATTGAAGAGGATTTAAATGAACATGTTGATAGAGAGGTAAAAAATTTTAAAAGAATTCATTCTAGCTATGTATTTGGAGTGACTGATAAAGGTGAAAAGACCATTTTAAATTTCACTCTAGCTAATGATTTTATAATTGCTAATACCTTATTTAAGAAAAAATAGGAGCATCTCATCACTTATAAGAATGAATATTATAAAATTTAGATTTATTATTTTTTAGAAAAAAATAGCTCATTTAGATTACAAAGGCTTTGAAGTTATTCCGAGAGAAAATTTATGTATCCAGTATCATTTATTAGTTTTGGACTTTAAAATGAAGCAGTGGAATATAAAAAATAAAATAAAATATTTTCATAAGATTAAATGAGGGCATTTAAATAATACAAACAAAAATATATTTTAGAGTAAAATTTATGATCCTAAATTTTTAATGTCAATGAAGAAGCTAATATTATATGAAAAAATATGAAGCTTTGTTATAATAATTGGTTTGAGTGAAAGAGCTCAAAAAATTGAAAAAAAATAAAGCGGGACATAAAGAGTTTAAGAAAGTAATATAAAGCAAATGATTTACACAATCTATGTATAAGTTAGCCAAACTAAGAGAAAATAGAAGTAAGAATTTAGTTCAAGTGAAGTGCATCAAAAATGAAGATCAAAAAGTATTTTATTAAAAGATAATACTCAACAAATGTGGATCATATATTTTTATAAGTTTTTCAATGATGATTGTGATAATATAATGAGCTTTAGTGATTTTAGCACCCAAAATAAAAATAGAGATCAAGGTTTAAAATTGCGTAAATAAGCCTCGGTGCGTTTTTCCTCCGTAAGGCGAGGCATAAGTCTCGAGACGGTGTGAGGCGTAAGCCTCACGGACGAAGAATTGCGTAAATGAGAATTTAAGGATTTTAGTAGGAAAATAATAGTAAGATTTTATCATAAAATATAAACATCTAAATGACAAGTAAAATTAGTGGAAAGTAAGAAAAAAGATGCAATAAAATCATGTCCCAAAGTATATAACCACAAAAAAGTGTTCCTTCATGCGAGTAACTTCACCCTTCACCACCTTATCACAAAAATTACATTTTAAATACACGTCTTCTCGCCGCCTCCTACATCAACTTGCACACTATATTTCTAAGAAGGGTCAGGCTGCAATGACATATTTGTCTTTTCCTTGCCCCTAACTATATTTCCTAATGCACAAATTCAAAAACATACAAAAAATCTCAAAAAATAGAAAACCCTACATTTTCCATAACTTGAAAAAACTTTCCTTGAACTAAAAAAAAAATACCTAAAACCAATAGTGGAGTGCTTGTAGAGGGCAGTCGGACCCTATAAACTCATCGGCGTGAGGTGGCGCCGGCACGAGAGGCGATAGACAGCGACCCAAGCGGAGCCGAGCAGAAGCTTTGCGAACGAAAATGGCCTTGCGGGAGAATTTTCGTTCAGTTCACTAGAGCCGAATGTTATAACAAAAAAAATAAGTCATTTTAAGTAGGTGGGACCCGGTTTAAAGAGGCATGCGCCTCACATGATATTGCGCAATGGCGGCTTAGAGGCGCGCTTGTGAGGCATAAGCCACACCTGGAGCCAAAATTGCTTAGGCAATGAGGCTCTTGAGAGCCAAAATTGCTTAGCCAATTGTGTAATTTTAAACTATGATAGATATTTTCATTTTTATCATCATATTAGTAAACCTGAAGTTAGAAAGATTTAAAAAAATAAAGTGAAAATAAACTATTGAACCTAATGAAATTCCAATATAATAGGGGGCTCGTAGGCGACACCCTTTGGTGGTTTGGCACATCACGCACATTTTAATGAAAGAGTCGTATAACATGTGACACATAATAATGTAAACTTTTGTTTCTTTGCAAAAGTAAATGTTCAAGAGATGTACAACAGATTCACGGGGTGTACGTGTCTCCCAATTTTAACAGCTGGTGTGCATGCTACCTAAAGCACTTATGTATCGTGACTCCTCACCTTGTAATTTTTGTGCTTGGAGTTTATTTTAACAGGTCCCACATAGGGATCAGCTTTACAGGTTATAAATAAAAAACCCAACCCTAGTTCATTTGTTGACCTGCTGTGTAACAAAAAAAAGAGAGAAATAAAAATCAAACACCTCACCTGCTCTGCCTCTCCCACATCGTCGCACGTCGCTCGCACGACCAGTGTCGTGTCTCGCACGACCAGTGTCGTGTCTCGCACGACCTCACGTCGCTTCATCGCACGACGGTCTCGCATCGTTAAATGGCCAAAGGGATGAGGCCTTCGGCCTCTCCCTCGCACTGGAGCTCTCTCGCGTCCGCT